TATATATATATATATATTAAAATGCTTATTAGAAATTAAAATAAAAAACAGGAACTTTAAATATTAGAATGATGAAAATTAAAAGAAAACTTTTTTATATGGATCAAAATCAAAATTTATTTATTTTCATGTGTCAAAAAACAATGTTTTCAAATTTTAGAAATATTAGAAATCAAAAAATAAAAAATTATAGAGATTAAAATCAAAAGTTATTCATCTTACAATAATTAACATTTTAAGCCAGTTGAATTAGACATAATAATTAACTTAATTTTGCATGATAACAACAAATTTTAAGAGTAAATATGCATATAGTTATTCAATAAATTATAAGCTCTAAACATTAAGCATTACATAATACATGTTTAGATCAGTAAAGCATAAGCTAAATAAATTAGAAAAGACCAACTCTGTAATACTTGTTTAGACCAATTCCTTCTGCGTTTGTTTGGTGCATACTAGGGATGTATAGAATGTCTTGGGTTTGCTTCGTAACTCATACTCTAACTTGGTTTTCGAAACCGTTACTCCACTAAGGGAGGTTCAGGTGGCCAAAGGAAGAGCAGCGACGATCCTCTTCATAGAGTTTTGACCATCACTGATCTCAACAAAATTGCAATGTTTGTGGAATATCAAATATATGCATATGACTATTATTTAGATACAGGAATGAATCTAACCCAAAAATAAAAAATAAAAAAGACAACATTAGAACCAAACTTCCCTTAAAACTAGGTAGTATTTCAAACTTAAAATCCCCCATCAATCGAAGGGCACATTTCCTCCTATATTTAGGGGAATAACCTACACAACAAATAGTCTATCTAGTTTCGTTCTTGCAAAATACAATAGGTTCAACATCAACAATTTAGTATGGTGTAGTTTTTATGAGCAGTGGTGTGTCATGAAACGAATACCTAGGCTATATCTAATCTTGCTACAGGAGCAAATACCTCAAAATAATCAATACCTATCTTTTGTTTATATCCTTTTGCTACCAACCTTGCTTTAAGGCGATCAATTTCTCCACTAGACTTGTACTTAGTTTTGTACACCCACTTTACTCCAATTGGCCTTTTGTCTGCTGGTAAGTCTGTCAGCTCCCATGTTTGATTCTTCTCAATGGCATGAATTTTTTCATCCATTGCTTTTCTTCAATGTTGATTATTTGAAGCTTCTTCAAAAGTTACAGGCTCACAATCTGCAAATAAGGCAAAATTGATAATTTCTTCATCAGATGGGTCATTATCATTACCCACAACATAATCCTCCAATCTGGCTGGTAGTCTTCTTTG